AACTTTTACATCTGATACAGAATAACATTTTATACTGAGCGTTTACAACTGAGACAGTAGAATTACAAAAAAAGTTGTGTTAATGCATGTATACGGTGAACTATATATAACCCAATACCCTTGGTTTGAGATAAAACATGATTAATTACAGATCGCATTGGGCTATTCTATAGAAATGAATGTAAAACAATACGACAAGGTATCAGAATGAACAGTGGTCGCATTGGACAGGTATGTTGCTGTACATGATCTTTTGCACACAATACACCTGCGATCGCTATGGTTATCACTCAGTGCAGAATATAAAGCAGTACTTTGTAGATGAGAGCAGTTCTCGTTAGGCTCTTTATAACCATTAAAAAGATAAATAATTGATGAAAAAACGAAACTGTAAGTAAAATACATACTTTGTTTGGCTGTCATAATCGCCATACTAACTATCCAGTAAAATCTCATACGGCTATACAAATTGGCGAAAAAACAGACAGTGAAATTAACAATCAAGTGTTGTGCCTTTATTCCGGATTTTTTTTAAAGAAAAAGGTGTGATATCAGAACAAGAAAAAGAAAAGGTTTTCGTCAAAAACATAAGTTAGTTTTTCATGAGTGTTTTGAACTGTTCTGGTTACCATTTAAACAGATTTTTCTTTCTATTATCTACCGAAAATAATTTTATCAGAGGAAGAAAATGTTCTTTGGATACATAGAGGATATTATATGAATGTTTTTGTCATATTACATTTATTAAACGGGTTCAATAATTTGAGATGAGACAAGCCTTTAGGCGAGTGCTATATCATATAATTTGACGAGTCAAATTCAATATGACATGGACACGAATGTAAGATTATATGTATCACACAACATTCATTATTTGAAAAATAAAGATTCAAAAACAATTATGTGTTATCAGCTAAATATATGAAAGTCAAAACCGAGGCACTTCGATCCTTGTCTTGTCATTCCGCGCAGTGGAAAGCTGTTTCATTTTTGATAATGAACAGTTTTAGTGCAAAAATAATACTAATGTCAAAACGAAACAAAATAAAAAATATAAAAGCAAGAACACTAAAACTTATCAGCAGCAAATGCAGTTAATGAAGTTTCATCAATTTCTGGTACAAGTACAATGTAGTAGCGTAGGAATATGATACCACGGATAAGTTATATAGTATGTATCTACGATCCTGTAATAACAACAAGCATAATTATATCCACCACACCCACCTATGTAGTCGGTATATACATCCCTGTAAAAACACAGTACACATCTTAGTTATTTAGTCTGTATCTACGTCCCTGTAACTACACAGTAAACATCCTAGTAATGTAGTCTGTATTTACTTCCCTGTAAAAACACAGTAAACAACCTAGGTATGTAGTCTGTATCTACGTCCGTGTAACTACACAGTAAACATCCTAGTTATGTAGTCTGTATCTACTTCCCTGTAAAAACACAATAAACATCCTAGGTATGTAGTCTGTATCTACGTCCCTGTAACTACACAGTAAACATCCTAGTTATGTAGCCTGTATCTACATCCCTGTAAAACCCCAGTAAACACCCTAGGTATGTAGTCTGTATCTACTTCCCTGTAAAAACACAATAAACATCCTAGGTATGCAGTCTGTATCTACGTGCCTGTAACTACACAGTAAACATCCTAGTAATGTAGTCTGTACCTACGTCCCTGTAACTACACAGTAAACATCCTAGTAATGTAGTCTGTATTTACTTCCCTGTAAAAACACAGTAAACAACCTAGGTATGTAGTCTGTATCTACTTCCCAGTAAAAACACAATAAACATCCTAGGTATGCAGTCTGTATCTACGTGCCTGTAACTACACAGTAAACATCCTAGTTATGTAGTCGGTATTTACTTTCTGTAATACCACAGTAAACATCCTAGTTATGTAGCCTGTATCTACATCCCTGTAAAAGCCCAGTAAACACCCTAGGTATGTAGTCTGTATCTACTTCCCGGTAAAAACACAATAAACATCCTAGGTATGCAGTCTGTATCTACGTCCCTGTAACTACACAGTAAACATCCTAGTTATGTAGTCGGTATTTACTTTCCTGTAATACCACAGTAAACATCCTAGTTATGTAGTCTGTATCTACGTCCGTGTAACTACACAGTAAACATCCTAGTTATGCAGTCTGTATTTACTTCCCTGTAAAAACACAGTAAACATCCTAGGTATGTAGTCTGTATCTACGTCCCTGTAACTACACAGTAAACATCCTAGTTATGTAGTCGGTATTTACTTTCCTGTAATACCACAGTAAACATCCTAGTTATGTAGTCTGTATATACGTCCCTGTAACTACACAGTAAACATCCTAGTTATGTAGTCTGTTTCTACGTCCCTGTAAACACACAGTAAACATCCTAGGTATGTAGTCTGTATCTACGTCCCTGTAACTACACAGTAAACATCCAAGTTATGTAGTTTGTATTTACTTCCCTGTAAAAACAAAGAAAACATCCTAGTTATGTTGTCTGTATCTAGGTCCTTGTAATAATACAGTTAACGTCCTGAGTATGTAGTCTGTTTCTACGTCCCTTGGTAACACAGGAAACATCATAGTTACGCAGTCTGGATACACGTCCCTATAACTACACAGTAAACATCCTAGTTATGTAGTCTGTATTTACTTCCCTGTAAAAGCACAGTAAACATCCTAGGTATGTAGTCGGTATACACGTCCCTATAACTACACAGTAAACATCCTAGTTATGTAGTCTGTATTTATTTCCCTGTAAAAACACAGTCAACATCCTAGTTATGTAGTCTGTTACTACGTCCCTGTAATAACACAGTTAACATCTTAATTAAGTAGTCTGTATCTAGGTCCCTGTAATAACACAGGTAACGTCCTTGGTATGAAGTCTGTATCTACGTCGCTGTAATAACACAGTGAACATCCTAGTTATGTAGACTGTATCTACGTCTCTGTAATAACACAGTTATCATCCTAGTTATGTACTTTATATCTACGTCCCTGTAATAACACAAGTTATGTAGTCAGTATTTTCGCCCCTGTTATGACACAGTTAACATCCTAGTTATGTAGTCTGTATCTACGTCCCTTTAATAACACAGTTAACATCACACTTAAGTAGTCTGTATCCAGGTCCCTGTAATAACACAGTTAACGTCCCTGATATGTAGTCTGTATCTACGTCTCTGTAATAACACAGTAAACATCCTAGTTATGTAGTCTGTATTTACTTCCCTGTAAACACACAGTAAACATCCTAGGTATGTAGTCTGTATCTACGTCCCTGTAACTACACAGTAAACATCCAAGTTATGTAGTTTGTATTTACTTCCCTGTAAAAACACAGAAAACATCCTAGTTATGTTGTCTGCATCTAGGTCCTTGTAATATTACAGTTAACGTCCTGAGTATGTAGTCTGTTTCTACGTCCCTTGGTAACACAGGAAACATCATAGTTACGCAGTCTGTATACACGTCCCTATAACTACACAGTAAACATCCTAGTTATGTAGTCTGTATTTACTTCCCTGTAAAAGCACAGTAAACATCCTAGGTATGTAGTCGGTATACACGTCCCTATAACTACACAGTAAACATCCTAGTTATGTAGTCTGTATTTATTTCCCTGTAAAAACACAGTCAACATCCTAGTTATGTAGTCGGTATCTACGTCCCTGTAATAACACAGTTAACATCTTAATTAAGTAGTCTGTATCTAGGTCCCTGTAATAACACAGGTAGCGTCCTTGGTATGAAGTCTGTATCTACGTCGCTGTAATAACACAGTGAACATCCTAGTTATGTAGACTGTATCTACGTCTCTGTAATAACACAGTTATCATCCTAGTTATGTAGTCTATATCTACGTCCCTGTAATAACACAAGTTATGTAGTCAGTATTTTCGCCCCTGTTATGACACAGTTAACATCCTAGTTATGTAGTCTGTATCTACGTCCCTTTAATAACACAGTTAACATCACACTTAAGTAGTCTGTATCCAGGTCCCTGTAATAACACAGTTAACGTCCCTGATATGTAGTCTGTATCTACGTCTCTGTAATAACACAGTAAACATCCTAGTTATGTAGTCTGTATTTACTTCCCTGTAAAAACACAGTAAACATCCTAGGTATGTAGTCTGTATCTACGTCCCTGTAATAACACAGTTAATATCTTAATTAAGTAGTCTGTATCTAGGTCCCTGTAATAACACAGGTAACGTCCTTGGTATGAAGTCTGTATCTACGTCGCTGTAATAACACAGTGAACATCCTAGTTATGTAGACTGTATCTACGTCTCTGTAATAACACAGTTATCATCCTAGTTATGTAGTCTATATCTACGTCCCTGTAATAACACAAGTTATGTAGTCAGTATTTTCGCCCCTGTTATGACACAGTTAACATCCTAGTTATGTAGTCTGTATCTACGTCCCTTTAATAACACAGTTAACATCACACTTAAGTAGTCTGTATCCAGGTCCCTGTAATAACATAGTTAACGTCCTTGATATGTAGTCTGTATCTACGTCTCTGTAATAACACAGTTATTATCCTAGTTATGTAGTCTGTATCTACGTCCCTGTACTAACACAAAGAACATCCTAGTTATGTAGCGTGTATAACATTCCCGTTAAAACATAAACATCCTAGTTATGAAGCATGTATTAACATATCTGGTATAACAAAGAAAACATTCTAGCTATGTAGCCTGTATTTACATCTCTGTTATAACACAATACAATATATTGGTAATGCAGTCTGTAATACATATCTGTTATAACACAACAACAATCCTAGTTATTAAGCCTGTATTTAAATCTATGTTATAACACTGTAAACATTCTAGTTATTTAGCTTGTAACATCCTAAATAAATAGCCTATATTTACATATTCATGATATAAAATGAAACGATTACGTGACATCTGTTTTACCGACTTCACTTTCTTAACTACATTCAATGATTTCAGTCAGGCATAAAACTGTTAAAAACATTTTAACAATCTACACAAGTAAGGAAATCATATGTACCGCTGATTTATGCATGTAAAACAGTTAGGTTCTCTTTCTCTCTTTTTTTTGTCTTTTAAAAACCGATTGCCTTTTGTCACATTATAGAAATTATATTTTCACTATGATGTGATAATTAAATAATCGATCTTCTTAGAGTACTACCCTGTTTAGCGTCTCTGGTCCTTAATCTCCAAGAACCTACCATGGAGTGGGAATACTTATAAATGACCAGTTTGGCAACCATCTCTGTAGAACACGGATTATTTACTGAAACTCACGCCAGCCTCAAGGTATTAAACACATTGTAGTATCTAACCTAAAACAGAAACAATATTGAAAATTATAACAAATGTTTTCACGACAATTATGTTTAATTCCTATTCAATGTACAGTATCACATTATTGAAATATAGTTTATAGAAATAAAATATAAACTAAACTAAATTTATGGAGTATTGCTTTAATACAACGTCAGAAACCGCAAGAAACAATAAACAAAACAAAAATGAGAATGTTGTATGAAGTATTATATAATATTGAATACTAACCAGGATTATACTAATATACAATTTTTTCATTGTAAGTAAGGACGACATTTGTAGCTGATTTAGTAAGAACACAATTTCCTCTCTAGGAACAAAGGGGGGGGGGGGGGGGGGGGGGAGGAGTAATCGGTGTACACATGTTTGGCATATGTTGATCAATCTGCCCTAGATAAATAGGCGTTTACATCTTATCTAGCGTCATTGGATAATACTGTGGCATCTGATCTGGAAAACAAATATATGCATGCAGTTAACAAAACATCAATATGACTCTGAAATAAACAGACAGCATGACGCTTTAAACATTCCGTTTCACTTGGAAGTGTTAAAACAGTACCTAAGAGGGTTTCAGTGCTCTAATGACAGATTCGGTGTCCATGTCGCATTCCCGCATCGCCAGGAGAAGTGCATTCACAGTTGGGCGCGGCTTGGTCTCCTTAATTAACGCTTTTAGCAAAGCAGTGATCTTCACTCGAGTTTTCCTGTTTCTGTAGTTGTCGTCAAACTCATCCACTGTTGTGGGCGGTAATCCAAGCTCAAGGAATAGGCTGAAGTATGCTTTGACATCAACATGGCCAGCAATGACTGGAGCATCATTGACAGACAATTTCGTCTTTAACCATCTCTCCGACAATGTCTCGTCTGTAAAGAACGAAAACAATTACAAACAAACCATAAAATAATGATCATTTATCGAAAGACACTGACAAACATACACACAGCCGACGAAGAAATGCATCTCAAATATTTAAATAGTTAGGGAGTAAAAAGGGAGGAAGAAAGATCAAAATGGACTTATCATACGACATAACACGATAAAGGAGGATCATATGAGAGAAGCACAGATGCTAAGAACTCTCATACCACATCGATCGATCGATCGATCGAGAAAGAGAAGGCTACTGCAAGCTTTGTTTAGTACCTTGAAACATTATACTCCTGTTGGAGTCCAGAATGTCCATGAGCATGGAAGGGTCCATTCCATGTCGTGACATTGCATCTGCTACAGCCCGGTATCCAAAATCCGCATTCGTTTTGAGAAGGTGAATGAAGATCTTTGCAATGCGAGATCTAAAGGCGAGGTGGCGGTGCTCTTCCATCTCCTGCTCCACTATATCTACCGGACAGTCCAGTTGGGCAAAGAACGTCTGGTATGTACTGGCGATGTATCTAGAGACTCTACCAATCTCTTTGAACGACAGTTTTCTGTCCGGTAATTCCTTTGTCTTGCCTGCAATATGTATAACTCAATTAAATCCATTAGCTCAATATCATTAATTTCTATGCTGACGGTTACATTTTGACTGCAGAAGTCCAGTTATATAGGTTTTGTGGAATCTTATGAAATTATCGTAGAAGAATAAGACCCATGCCTGGCCAACAGTACTTACTTTTTCCGTCACATGGCAAATGCATTATTATGAACTATAATGATTTATCAACGCGTATGCTTAGTTTGATATGTCGACATTGTTTTAGTTTTTATGCAAAACAACGAAGAAAACAAAAGGAAAATATAAATAGGCATCGACTTATATAGCCAGTTATAATAGACAGTTCTATATATTCTAGTAAGATGTTAATTGTTTTTACAATGTGTTAATTCTCTATCAATGCCATGATTGGATAGAGTGTTAGTATAGTTATAACTGTCAGTAGGTTGTTTTTACTTGTTCTGATAAAAACTCGAACCGATTCTGATGCACAACACTGTACAACTGTATTTTAAAGTAACATTTTTTTTTCAAATTTGTAAAATATCGCTGTTGAAGGGCATTGACTTACCAACATAACGCTTACGGGACCGTTTCTTCTGCAAAAATAAAATAAAAAATGATACACCTTAATGGGAAATTCATTGACCGTAAAACATTTTGCATTTGAGTAGTTCATCACTTGCAATAGGCGTATGATATAAAACTGGGCTCTGGTATACCTTTTTTATAAAGAAAAAACACGATTCATTTATCAACGATTTTACTGTTGCGCCTTGTCCCGCATATAACATCAAAACGCTCCAGTAGTAACATATGAACATTGAAATTGTTCCATAAACCGCCCCAGTACACCTCCCATATGCATATATCAACAAAATGCAACGGAGTAATAAATACGGAATAAAATAAATGTATACATTCTAATCATATAATACTATTTGTTCGGCATTTTCGATTTTTTCCAGTGCGTTTATAAAGTATAATTCTTCGAAAACATCGATAATGATGTGTACTGAAAAGAGTTACCGTAGAAGTTTTGATGGTGTTTCTCGTAACGAACACATAGCATATATAGATATTGTGGAGCAAATAGCCGGTACGTGTTTTTCAGTGTTAATGAATAAGATGTTATTATTGTATTATGAACAAGATGTATAAACTGTTAACCTCCTCGTCTTATGGACATTGACCATCGAAGTATTTCGAGTTCGATGTGATACGTGTATTACATATTATTATTTTCACTGTTTACCTTCTCGTCTGGGTTCTTAAACCAGATGTAGAGGTCATTTCTGTCTATCCATTCGTGGCCTTTTGAACCGTAGCATCGAAGAGGTGCTGTCTGCCGTAAATCGTTCACGTTAACCATCTGTTCAGCTGCCGTGAACCGGAAGTCGTTGTGGAGGTAGAATTGGTATTCTAGATGACTTTGGTGATTTAACTTTAGAATCCGCTGGAGAAGAAATTGTAGAATACTGAGTAGGTCAATTCCAGTTCCTGTTCGTACGGAGTGATCTGTATCCGTCTTGAACATAGTAACCTTCATGGCATTGTCCCTGCAGTTGATGATCATATTCCACAGATAATCCACAGACAGGCAGACAAATCCGCGTCGGATGAACATCAAACCATCATCTCCGAACTCTTTCAGTCGCTGAAACCTGTGAATACAGGAGGCAATCATCTTGTCCCACACGGCCTGCGGGATGAATGGGTTGTCGAACTTCACACAAAGAGTGACAGTGGTAACTGTGTAGGGGTCAGCAAGAACTGGACTAATTACCTCAGGATCTGCAGTTTGAAGGATACTTGGTACTATGAAGTAATCCACCTCGGCATCTACCGATATTGGTTTAGTAAGTAGTCCAAGGGTTTCCATGATGCTGTAGAGTCTCTCTTCCTCATCTAAGAACCGATATTCCACAGGACGTTCCCAAAGTTGCCTGATGAACTCGTGTGATAATACGCCGGATTTCTCATACTCTGTCCATTTAAGTATTTGCTTGGTCGATAGGTTAGATGTAAATTTTGGAGCAGTGATGATGGCTTTGAATGCATTAATTATCCATTGTGGTTGAAGAACAATGAATGGACTCTTGCTAAGGAGGTCAAAACAGAGGAACGATCCAGAGAACCTTAGTTTCCTGAAAATATATATTTGGTTTTAAAAATGCAATTTTATGTGTAAAATGATTTGATATATCACATGTTATGAATATTTCTACTCACATTAGAAACTTCATTACTTCATTTTCTGCTAATGGGACTGCTGTTTTGCTATTGATTTCTAACAGATCAGCATATGTCAAGATAATCATGCCTTCATTCTTCAGTTTCACCAGCTCGTATTCCAAGGCAATCCATCTTGCAGGTACTGGCTTCATCCACTGAGACTGGAGAGGGGCAATCGATAGGATCTTTGTCCATACCCGTTCGTAGGTATCTTGATTTTTAGTGGAATCATTCAGATCTGCTATGGGGAACATTTCCTGGACGTGGGTTGCCATAATTTCACGGAGTTCAGGTTTCTCGTAAATCTTTTCTAGCACCGAAGCAAACATCCTTTCCTGTTCTTCTTTCTGCGTAGAAGACAATACTTCGATAAATTGTAAATCATAAAAGAATCCTACATTGAAAAAAATGCATGATAATAATCATATACGCTATGTCTGTATACATGTACAAGCAGTCAAACTATTGCAAACAAAATAAAAAATGTTCCTAACATTATAGAAACTACATGAATGAACAAACATCTGTTTTGATTATAGTTACATATAAAGCCGTTTTCAGTTTCCAAAACTTACATGTTCAGAAACAAGGTCCAAATAAGATCCAACAATGATGACTGGCGGAGTTCCTTTACCATGTGCTGCTCTGTCGATGGCATAGGTAGCGATATTCCTCAGCCAGAACTCGATTCGCTCTGTACATAAACAACTGCGTTTAAGAAATGGGCTGAACAATATATTTACTTATTGTTTCGCTGCAATAACAAGATAACCAATGAAGTTCAAGAGGGTATAGTATGAGTCTTTCCGGCTTTCATTCGTATAATTCCCGAATAGGTTTAATTGATCTGGGACCAAAGAGCCAATGGGCCGTGAAGTAATATTGCATCAAACAATTTACAAGAAAATGTATTGCGAAAATTAAAAGCAATATATATTGTATTGACAAACCTACCATATCCATCTTTTGCTCGGCTTGGATCAAGACACATAGCCACGTCGAACACCAGGACGAAGACCATATTGCTTGACATAAAACAGTGATGAGTGTTATAGAACACCTTCTCCCCACCAAAGTCGTAGATTGTGACATAGTCCTTCACCTTCCCATCATGCTTATCCTCTTTTTCTGTAACCATCACCTTTTCTATAACACTTTTTTGTTCTTGCGTTAATTCAAAGTGTTGTGGTATTTCTGCAATATGTAAACGAAGTTATAACCACTGGTGAATACTCTACACGATTTATAATCGTAATCTTAGTAATCCTATGGGGAAATATAGGAGTATGATCTGATAAACTTTATATACAAAGTTAACATGTTTATCTTCTGATGCAAGAACCGGGACTATCAGTACTTTATAACATATGCTTTGATCCAGTTATTCTTCGTTGAATATTGTAAGCATGTTACAGTTAAGTATTTTCATGGTCAAGGACAGATTACCTCTTTCTTTTCTTTTGAACGGTAACTTCGAGAAGAACTGTCTCATTTTCTGTTTGGCACCTGTAAACATGCAATAGTTATATCAGTGACGTTACAGCAAGTATTACAAATCACATAAGTAATTAATGTCTGGTACAAACAGAATTGTATTCAATTTGCCAACTAAGTAATCCATTCCCCACCTGTAAATGCGATGTTGGTTTCAACTTATAAGTAGACTTTAAAGCGACCCGTGATTAATACTTTACTTAACGTATTCCTATTTATAAATTTTATTTTCTTTATGTGTCTTTCCACGTACCTGTCTTCTTCCTAACATGCACTTTCACCGTTGCTTCAGGTAGTGCTCCCGTGCTTGGGTTTACAGATGTCTGTACAGAACTATTCTTCCCGTCATGGTGTCGATCAATGAGACGTCTTAGTCGCTGAAGACCCGTCTCAATTTCACCAGTGTTATCTAGTTTCTGTCTAAACCCGGTATCTGGGTTGTAGGCTATAACGTTGACATTGAAGTCAGCGGTATCTGTTGAACCCGGTCCACCTTCTGAAATAAATTCCTTTTTGAGTTGTCGTACAAAACAAGACTTGCCAACTCCATGGTGACCAACGACAGTAATGATGGTATTACAAGGGTTTTCCACATTGTCAGCTATTCCAGAGGTATATTGCTGCTGCTGCTGTCTCTGCTGTTGTATCTGCTGATCATTCTGCTGCTGTCTCTGCTGCTGTCTCTGCTGTTGTATCTGCTGATGTCTCTGCTGCTGCTGCTGCTGTATCTGTTGCTGTCTCTGCTCTATTTGTGCTAAACACAAACACCATGTTTTGACATTTAAAGAGCACATACACCATTTCTTATATATTAGAACAATCCAAACTACACACCACTGAACCATGCTCCTTTTCCAATTTGTAGGTAGTTTTAGAACGCATGCTTTAACATAATTCCTTACTCTAATGATCAAATAATCCTAGCAAGTAATACAAATGTGAATTACATATTTTTCATTGATACAAAGTATTTGTACTGATGATAATCAATAAACAGTCCGGGAATTCTTTAGTGATATAACTAGCTGTAGTAAAAAAAAAAAAAAAAAAAATTTCATGTAAGCATCATCACTCAATGTCGAAGAAATGGTCAAGGTCACTAAAGACCTTGTAAGATTTTATGTTTTTTGGTGTCCAACAAAATGAGAATTGTTCAGTGTCAATTTACAATTAATATGGAATCTCACTTGCCTAGTAAATTTATTAGATGCAATAAAACATATGTAACCTATGAATCAATGAACAAAGGTTACTAACCCTTAAAGACGAAATTATATTTGAGACTAGAAAAATCAAAGGGAGGTTGGAGCAGAGAGTATTATAATTGAGTGAGAACAGATAGAGAAACTAAAAGAGCAATTGATAAAATGATAAAACTAAAAATATACCTACTCTAACAAATGACATAGATATCAAATTACTTACTCACACCAATAACAATGAAATCAAAGTACTTAGTCACACCAATGACATAAATATCAAAGTACCTTCTAATGCAAATGTCATAAATAGCAAAGAAACTATGCACACCAATAACAAAGATATCAAAGTACATATTCACACCAATAACAATGATATAAAAAATACCTATTCATACCAATTACATCGATATCAAAGTACCTACTCACAACAATGACATCGATATCAAAGTACCTACAAACGCCTATGAAATATGTATCAAAATACCTACTCACACCAATGACATAGATATCAAAGTACCTACTTACACCAATGATATCGGTATCAAAGTACCTACTAACGCATATGAACTAAATATCAAATACATTGTACCTACTCACGGCCATGACGTACATATCAAAGTACCTACTCACGGCAACGACAAAGATATCAAAGTAACTACTGTCGCCAATGACAAAGATATCAAAGTACATACTCACGACAATTGCATATATATCAAAGTACCTACTCACGCAAATGCCGTATAAATCAAAGTACCTACTCACGACAATGGCATATATATCAAAGTCAAGAATATTATTCAGGATTTTGTTACAGAATCTTAACCCTCGACTGAGATAACCCAATCTCGCTCAGTTACAGGTAATATATTTTATTTATCTTTGCCCTATTGTATATTGTTATTAGTATTAGATTACAGGAGGTCTAGAGTATCCGCCTCTGTGCCCCACTCCCATTTCACATTAAAGAAACATAAAAACTTAAAAACTAAGCAAAAACTAAATAAAATGCATATACCTATTAGTGTATAGGATCTGCCTATAGACAATGAGTTGCTACAACGTCTTTGTTCCGACCTCAGGCGGGGAGTTCTGTTCATTAGAAATGCTTCCCCTCCCACAATGTTCCAACGTCTTATCGAATTAAACTATTGTTTGTTTCTCTCCTTGTTATGTTCTCTTTTCTTCTCAAATATAATTCTACTTCCGATAACTGTTTAAGATACACATAGCAGTCATCTTGTCACATCGGCATGACTTGTGTTAAGTTGACGCAGGTATGGTGAGACAGCCAGTTGTACAATAGGTAGGAACAATATGAAAACTGCTGTATTTTTTAGATTTTGTTTTGTTAACTTCTATACTCACACACGCCAGCTGCTATAGAGAACACATCAAAACCCCCATTCCCACCCAGGGATAGAACACACAACAATCCTCTCCCCATATCGATATCATTATATTTAATGATTACGATATTTTTGCATGTATGGTATTTGGCTACAGGTAGAATCGAAACCCCCTCGAACCCCGCTCATAGACCTTACTCGTTACTTTAAGCAATGGTGACCAATGAAAACCACGATAAAAAACGCATAGGTCTTATCACATGGCCCTGTAAATCTAATATATTTAAAATTTCTCTACACTTCGGCTACAGGAAGGATCGAAATTCACTCGAACCTGCTTAATTGAAAACACATCCCACTTTCTCACTGTGATATTTTCAATCCTAATTTTGAGTAAAATAAACACAAAATATCACGGCGTATATTGCTGATCAAACGTTTTTGTTCTGGTCTCAGTATAACATGCACAATGAACACATCCGAATATTCCTAAAGGACAATACCATCACCGCTGATCACTGTCTATCCCTCCTTGGTCCCCCATTATCACTCATCCTAATCCCTACCTATCTCTGCACACACCACCAAAGTCCCATTCACCCTTTCGTTATCTCTCCCCCATATCACATATATTTTCCCTTCCTTTAACTCTGACAAAATGACAACCTGCACTACTACAATACCGTATTGAATCCAGCAAACCTAACCCCCGCCCTAAACTAATACTCACAAAATGTCAATACAGAGGACAGCAACAGAAGAAAGCCAATACAAGGTTTTACATGAACAAGACCATCGTAATGACGAACAGTTTCCAAAAGCGTGCAAATAACTGGATTCGGTTTCATTTAGTACTTGCATGACACTAAACAGTAGCATTTAGCCCGTCAGCTGTGTAATGTCGTAAGAGTATGCGAGATAAAGCCAGCACAGATGAATTATTTCTAAGATTATATTAATGTATTATGAGGATAAGACGGACTTCCAAATATAGAACAAAACCAAAACACAATAGAGTAGGCTAGGGCCACTGGACAGTTTGGATATGGTAAACGACACGCCCTCTTCCTACTTCCGTGCCGTACTAGACATTTTGTTTCAATGCGGCTAGCGACAAATCAAATTGAGTGTACCAACTATTCGGAGCAGGGAGTCGTCTTCCAAATTACTTATAAAAAATCACAAGGATATGCTAAATATAGGTGACACCCCATCTCCCGACAGAACACCGGCTTCCGTCAGTGAGACGAAACCCATATGGGTGGAGTCATGTAGGTGATACACCCATAAACTAACCAACCAACTATATATTCGAATCCGAACGCATCCCTAGTTACGTTACTTACAACGCACTGCAAGCTTTACCAGTATGACTATTTATTTGATCAATCAGTTCTGCAAAGTGAAAGAGACATATCTTATGCCACTTTTTTTTATTTTTTTTAAAGGGATGAAATAAAGAGGGACAAAGGAAAAAAAAGTCCGAACGGGTTTCGAACCCTGGACCTCAGACCATTATACTACTGGTCTAACCAACCTATCTGAACAAGTGGCTCAAGTGTAAATTCTAATTCATTTGAGATGCAACACGCCATTTGATTGCTCAATCAAAATAATTTGCGACAGTATAGTCACGATATTCCGTCCGCAAATTTCTCAATGACGTCAATGACCCCGATTACCGCTGTCTCGTCATGAAATTGATTATCCAACACGTATTTAACAATAGTCAGCGTAATTCTGCCTAACTTTGGATATTCCTGACGTCAACAATCCTGTTCAAGGTGACCCAGAACTTGAAGGAAACACTCAAAAATATCTTCAAACCTTCGTTTCCTTTTTGGTTATGGCTGATATGAATTAGAATGGGGATAGCCCTACTGTATTTTGAAATTTGTGGCGGTATATCGTGGTTATACTGTCGCAAATTGAGTTTTACTGGATCCAGTAAAACGGTTATTACTTAATGTCCTTCCTTACAGTGTTTGCGACTGTTTCACCACGCGCCTTGTCCGTGTCATATGTCCACTGACCTATTTTACACCTATCTCCGAGGAATTGAGAGTTTAAATGCATCGCTTATAGCAGAAAAGTCCGTGAATAGTTTCTTGTATACTGTAACTATTGCTCCGAGTTATCACAGAAAGTCCAAGACAAATAAATAAATTCACCACGCCTATACCCATACTTTATCACTTGACAACGATACAAAAAGAAGAGAAGAAATTACATTTACATAGAAACATTTAACTAAGTGAAAAGCAGGAAACACTACACCCAGTTTTTACTTTAGTGTCGTGATTTCGTCCTTTTTCTTATATAATAATATGGACGAATATTTCAAAGAATGGAGGTAGCATGCCATCTTATTTATATATGAATTTAAAGTTAAATTCATTGAAAATAACTGCGACCATCATACAAAAGCTGAATGATTTAAGAGATGTGTTCACATATACATTCCACTAGGTGTTCTTTATTAATATGTGTGTATTTGCAAACATAATAATACATCTAACTATGTTAACACGTGATGATCAACATACATACAACTAAGCGTACTTACCGAAAATGGCGTAAACACCATGACTTCGTGGTGATTTACGTCTTGCAATATCTATTGGTCGGTCCCCTGAACTATCATCCTGTTGTAGCAGACGAGGACATTTATCAGCTGTGTCAAGTATCAACTGTGTCCACGGACAACGACAGAAAGCCATCCAGTGTAACACATTGGACCCGACCTCGTCCACCACACTCAACTCCTGGACAGTCATCTTCTTGGCGAGGAATGCCGCAGCATTTTCTTTGTCATATCTCACGGCATACATAAGAGGTGTGCGTCCGTCACTGTCTTTTGCTCCGATGTCCGCCCCAGATCTGACCAACTCCTTCACTTTATCCAGGTCTCCCGACCTGACGGCATAGTGTAGAGGTGTACATACATCCATGGTCCGTGATGTCTGTAACACAATACAGGAGATAATTGACACTATACCTTTAACCCGGTGATTAGTTTGGCATATAAAATACAACATATTATATAATTATACAGATAATTGTGTATTCTATTTTTAAATTAAACAAAAATATACTTCAGAAAACAGCTGTAGTCCCGGTCTTATTGTATTTGTATTACAACTGATCACTTTCCTTGACTGCAACACAATACATATGACTAACGAAGTCTAGAATATTGAAATTATGACATTTTAAGTTCAACATGTTGGCAATCAATCGGGGGTGGAGGTGGGGGGTAAACTAATTGATCCCGGTGCCCAACTGTTGAATGATTCAGAGAGTGTCACAGATCATTTCGCCTAGTTTATGTAAGATTGAAAAAAGGCATTCACTCTGAGCCAGGTTCATTAACAAGGAATTGAACGAACTCTCGTTTTTGACAATTATTGAGTATAGGATCCAGGGGGTCTAGATCCGTTTTCCACGTACACGGGGTACCACATAAATAATTCACACCTATTTTAAGTACAGTTATAATACCGGCCAAGTATCAACTTTAGTTGTAGCCAAACAGAGGACGATGGTTGTCAAGACGGTGTCCGAGTGCTGACCGCCCGCTATCCAGACGCTGTACGTATTATCGTTCGGGACAAACGCGGCTTGAACGGCCGTTATCGCCCATTACAAAGAGCCCTGGTAGGTCACACGAACGGTCAATGAGGCCGCTTTACCGTACTACTGGGGTATTCGGTCAAATCACACTTATAGCTAAATAATCTGATAACGTGTTTAATTAAGCCAAAGAATAGTATGTAAATCCCTGTTTTAACACTTGAAGTTTTTATTTGGTAATTAATTACCGGAGTAATCTAAAAATTAAAATATTTCAAGTATAAGTGCTATCAAAGTATGTAAATAAATCACTGTTGAGATTCGACAAATAAAGATATAAGAATTTTACTCTATCTAAGAAAGAAACCATAATTTCAAGTATATATCAACCACATTCAACATAAGTTCTAGCTAACAGAAAAAAACACGCAATTTTAATGACCACCGGCATAATATGATACATTTCCCCACGATGTTTGTTTAAATTTGAGTATTTCTTAAGTGGGTTGAGAATCCGCTATGTGATTTCCGCTAATATTGCCATGCCTTCAACTTTTCAACTTTATGCCGAAATTTAGTTTTACACACCCACCTGGATATATAATAACCATACTGTAGAAAGTAATGATAGTACTTAGGGATGTTGTTTAATTATATAATTGCAATTTCTTTTTAACACAGAAACATGGTTGCAGAATGTTTCATTATTTTCTTAACCCTTTGCTTGCGGCATGCATTTTACGTTATATGCCTTTGAGTACCGCCAAGGCAGATAATATTTTAACCTAAGTATTGATGTCATAATCGGATAAAAGTATGACGCCACAACCTTTATTTTAACCTATTTTTTTCTGAAATCATCTCTCCCAATTTTTTTTCCTTTTTATTTCTTTATTTCATGTGTCATTTCATATTTATTTTTCACCTTTAAATTGTACGTCCTCCGAAAACATTTTCTTAATTCTTTTCACTCACAATAACGTAATATAGGAGGTTGACGCACATAATGTGAATCACGTCTGAAAACTTCAAAAATTACAGGAGGAGACTGTACATTTTGACGATTACAGGACAGGACTGTATATTGTGACGATTACAGGCGGGGACTGTACATTGTGACGATTACAGGAGGAAACTGTAAATTGAGACGATTACAGGAGGAAACTGTACATTGTGACGATTACAGGACGGGACTGTATATTGTGACGATTACAGGACGGGACAGTATATATTAACGATTACAGGCGGGGACTGTACATTGTGACGATTATAGGACTGGACTGTACATTGTGACGATTACAGGAGGGGACTTTACATTGTGACGATTATAGGACTGGACTGTACATTGTGACGATTACAGGTGGGGACTGTACATTGTGACGATTACGGGATTGTACATTGTGACGATTACAGGAGGGGACTATACATTGTGACGATTACAGGTGGGGACTGTACATTGTGACGATTACAGGTGGGGACTGTACATTGTGACGATTACAGGATGGGACTGTATATTGTGACGATTACAGGCGGGACTGTATATATATATAACACTTTCACGATTTTTTAAAGGCATTTTGTATCAGATCAGTTGAATAGAATTAAAATGGAACACATCAAAGTAAGCATGTATCTAAGAAAAGTGGAAATGGTAGTAAAATACTACAAATTAGAATATAATACACAATGTTGGAGAATGTGCCATAAGTAACAAACAGCTTGGCGGTGTTTCAAAGTCTTAAGATGAGTGCATTTGATTTTTGATAACGGTTGCCGATCAAGGTGCCCTGTGTATTAGTATTGAATCGCGAGACGGTCAGTTGAATAATGATAGCCGGTTTGACAGGAAATGCGCTTTTTATACCCAGCGAGACCNGACGGTCAGTTGAATAATGATAGCCGGTTTGACAGGAAATGCGCTCTTTATACCCAGCGAGACTCATACTCGTTACCATGCATGGACAAACTAAAATGTCGGCACTTCCTTAAAAACTATAGTCGGTTGAGCTGGGGAGGATCTCAAGACAAGGAAACATTTTTTTTTAATTTTTGTTTTGTTTTTTAAGTCTCGATTTAAAGCTTTTTAACCTGCACTGTCAGCTTTAAAGTAATTTGCTAAACATATTTACTATATATTAAGGTTTGCTATTTTTCTTTTCAACAGAATCATAGACCTATACTGTAGGCAACGTAAATTATACGTATATATCAGTGGACCCTTATCAGAGCGATAGGCTAGGTATTTTTAATATTTGTCATAGTTCATGTGCAGAATTGGTCAATTCTATAATTTATCATGTATACGTATTTCAAATGTATTGTATTAAATTCGCAATGTTGATATCAACCGATACGGGTATCGTGTACCATTGTATAATGTAGATCTTTTATTATGCTTTTTAGGTGTGAATACATGTTTTATTTGTGCCATTGCACGGTCTCTCGACTCCATTAAATGAAAATGTGTAAATTAATATTTGCTTCATGATGTGTTAATGAATCTGTGAAGCACCTGAACCCGGCTACATTTTGGCGCCCCACGTGTGGCACGCGCGACTCAAACCAGGATGTTCCCGCCAAATTCCGGAGCCTAGCTTTGGAGNTGATACCGGAGTGGACGTGCCATTTGGCAAATATTATCGTTCATTCAGTAACATTTTATGATCGCAAGAAGATGGTATGCGGAATGAAAGATGTCATTTTAAATAAAAGCTTTACTTCATCGTAACATTTGTTGTGTATTTCTACATTGCGTTACGCGTGTGTGCTAATGTGAGACTCGAACACAGGTAAATCTAGATCTGTGAATTCAGCGACGACCATGTCATGCCTGAGTGAACAAGGCCTGTTTTGAACTGTAGCTGTCACGAGTGTATTTGTTAATATCTCATAGTCCTGGGTCAGATGATTTTACAGCTGAATTTTTTAAATGTTTCT